GGGACAGTGGGGTGTTGCAAAGCCTCATTTATTGCCATGAGGTCTCTGACTGGTCTCCAATAACCATTTGGTTTCTTTACAGGTAGGATGGGGGTGTTACATGATGAATTAGGACATTCCACAATGGCATCTGATTTATGAGTGACTGAATGACAGGAGCAATGCTTTGAATAGCCTCTGGGCTAAGTGGATAATGTCTTTTGAATGGTCTAACAGTTGATTTTAGCTGAACAATAACAGAGTTGTCCCCTGTATATTCCCAAAATCAAACTTGCTCCCAGCACACAAGTTATCAGGCACTGTTGATATTATTGCCTCCCCTTCATCAGTCAATAACATAAATGTAATTGCGTTAGTGTGTGTGTGTGTGTGTGTGTGTGTGTGTGTGTGTGTGTGTGTGTGTGTGTGTGTGTGTTCTGCTCTATGCTCTGACCTGCCTCCACTGTCTTCTATGGCGTCAATGGTAATCCTGGAGAATGACCAGAGAGCCCCTGAGGTGGTGCATATGGCCAGGAGTCCCCCTTAACTTGTCCTTCATGTTTCTCAGTCCAAGAAGTGGCACAATCATGTGAAATATGCCCAAAGCTTTCACATCTGTAGCACCTCAACTCGTGGCTGTCAGTGCTGCTGTACGTTTCTTAGTGTGCACTGCATCATACAACCTGTCCATCATTATGGTGAAATCCTTTGATCCAACTGCTGGGCTGGTGGACCAGTTGGCAGGTCGAATGTTGGCCCATCGGAGCTTGAAACATCTGGGACAGACAGCCTTTACTTCCTGCAGGGTTGGATTATACATGGCCAATAATTGTTGCATGGCTGTGACCCATTTCTCACCTCCAGTCTTTTGTGGATCAGGCAACTCCTCTGCAACTTCCTTCAGCTGATCTGGCTGCCATGGCCTGTACACAAGCACTCTGGATCCCAGTGGCTGTGTGCTTGGTCCCCTGTTGGTCGTGGCTGACGGATGGGAAAAACCATCATAGGCATTTCTGGAAGGAGTAAGGTTAGGTTTTGCTTCCTTGGGGGTCAGATGGAGAGCAGAAAGGTCAGGGTACAACGATGCCTCTTCCCCCTCCCTTTCAGAGTCTTTTTCAAGTTGCTCAGCATCAGGGCCATGTGCCTCTTGGGGAGGAGGGGCTGCAGCAGTGGAGACAGCATATGGAGGAGGTAGAACCCTCTCTCTTGCCCTACGTTTCTGTTTTTCCTTCCTTTGACACTTACTCTTATCTTTCATTTCTTGCTTTAACATCAAACCTGCCAAGGATTTAGCTTCCCTCACTTCAGCTTCTCTTTAGGAACTTTAGGAAAGCTTGCCAATTCATCCTTCTTCTTCTTCTTCTTCTTCCCTACATTCTTTCCCCTCTCATTTTCCCATAACCATGCTCTGCACCTTCCTAAACAATCTGTAGTCAATGTACCCATTATTGGACCCCCCCCAGAGACCAGATGAATGCAGCAGACCCATCTCTAGAACAACTGTTAAGAGGAGACTGCGCGAATCAGGCCTTCATGGTCAAATAGCTGCTAGGAAACCACTGCTAAGGAGAGGCAACAAGCAGAAGAGATTTGTTTGGGCCAAGAAACACAAGGAATGGACATTAGACCAGTGGAAATCTGTGCTTTGGTCTGATGAGTCCAAATTTGAGATCTTTGGTTCCAACCGC